TCCCTACATTAAGCCCTCTTTTCTTCAATCATGTTTTAGTAAGAAATATAATGTCTAATCACCTCATCAACAAGGTTCTAACTAAATCTACCAAGAAAACAAGACAAAACATTGAAATTACTGATCAGTTGCCATTGTTATATATTCACATCTTGATTATAACACCTCTACATTCTTTCATTATTTAAGCAAAGCTCATGAAAGAGATCTAAGAGTGACTTAACATGGCTAGCCCTACTGATATTAATGGAACTCATTATGTTAATAAAGAAAGGGAGTAAATATTTGTGAGATATATAGAATATAAGTGGTTTAGGAAAGAGCCTTTATCCTAACATTCATCTCTAAGTGCTAGAAGCAGCTATAAATAAAAAAGTAATGTTAATATTTCATAATTTTGTATATCTTTTCTTTATTTATTTACAAATTTTGCATCACTTTCTAGACATGTAAAACCTAGCAAATAGGCAGTGCTGAACTCAGTTCCCCTTGCTTGTTTTATTTAACATCTATAAGTATGATTATCAGGTCCATATCTTCAACCTGAAGACAGTCAGACTAAGAAATAACATTTAGTAGATCTGAATATTACTGTAAGTGTTGAAATTGTTGTTCAGGTTCTTCCTTTACTTGTTTAACCTCTACCTCTTTTGGATCACAAACTGGTTTATATTTGCCTTCAAATAGCCTCTGATTCATTCTGGGCTTACAAACTAACGCATAAATGGCTAAGACAAAATCCACTTAACATAAAACTAGCAAAAATGACAACAATCCACTGAAAGTCTTTTCTGGTATCGTGTTGATAGAATAGTCTTCAGGAAAGAAAATGTTACTATACAGCAATACAATTTCTTCTCCAAAAGCTGGATGAAAATGTAAACAAATGTGTTCTATTAAGCTGACTGTTTCAGAGTGTGATAATAAATACCAAGTAAATATAAAACTTAATGAGCTGCTTTTAGCTTCTTTCTTATAGGGAAAATTAAAAGAATGCTGCAAGTTTCTGACAGAACACAATGATGTGTTGCTCCATGAATATATTCTGGTTATATTTAAAGGGGTTAGATGACCAAGATGTTTGTTTACGATTATTTGTTTATAGATTGTCATGGTTTGATGTGGAAATTAAGGCTAATGGAAAAGCACACAGCAAAAGGGAGAGTATTGCTCCCTTCCTTGTGCTTTCATTGCTTATTTCTGCATGATGTCTCATAGATTGGATTTATATTATAATTTATTTGAGAGAATAAGTATTTCTGTTCTGCATTTATACAGTATCTAAGAAAGTATCAAACACTAATTAATAATTTATAATAAAAATAACAACAAAAATATTACTTTGTTTCCCATCTTCAGCCCAGATCCTTCAGGACAGTAAACCCATGGTTTGGGTTCTTAGTTTATCTTATGAGTCCTATTATATAATATTATTTTAATCAAGATAAAAAATTAAAAGTCATCTTACTTCAATAGGTCCCAGAGTCATATCCATGTGTATTGTATTATCACGTATGATAGATAAAGCTTCCATTGCAAATCTGACGTCATCTAAGTCATGCAGGGGTCGAGACAACTTCTTTAAATATTCATTTATGAATGACATCATGTCTGTCATTTTCTTTTTATATTCCTCATTTAAATAATGACAAAGGAGCATCTTCCAGGCTTTGGCTTCAATTGCTAAAGCTATTTTCAGCGGTCCTGATTTAAATAAATAAATAAAAATTATTCAATCTACATCTTATTTTTTTCTGTAAAAAGCTCACATCATCATGTATGGTTCTTTAATAGCAATTAGGAAAAGCAGACAGGCAATTCAATTACTGCATTTTAAAAGTTTCAAAACAATTTCAACTATACTTGAATATATTTCTGTTGTTTTATCGTATATTATAATATCTGTAAAACACACTGGTAAGCTTATCAAATAGAACATATCGAGAAGACGAATAAAGAAGAAAATCCCTACTTATTAATGTAGCTTCTCAGAGAATACTTTTGACATATATTAACCAAATGCATAAAGATCAGTGATATTTAAATGGTTTATACCTGTTGAGGAAATAGCATCTTGGGATTTCAATATTCGGATTTGGAATACTTCATAACTAAAACTGTAAGGTGTTACATCATATCATGTGCAGTTTATATATAAACACAAACCAACACTGAAGACACAGAAAAGCCAATCATTGTCACTTTAATTTATTATTAGAATAAATTAGGATTTTAATAGACAGCATTTTGTACTCTGGTGAAAGAAACCAAAAGATATTAACAACACATAACCTTTCTGCTCACAAAAGAAATTTTGCAGCATTATTATTCTTTAATAATGGCTATTAGAATTGAAAATCTGACTCCTGAAGGCCAGGAGTAATTCAAGAAAAGTACTGTACCCTGTTGTCCTGGTTTCGCTGGGATAGAATCATAGTTAAAAAGAATGCAGCAGCTGATTCAGAGAGAACAAAGTTGATAAGACATTGTGGTTTAGTTTGTAGCCAGCCGTGGTATGCAGGTGTCCGTAGTGCTCAAGGACTTCTCAACTTGTTTTTTGCTAATGACTCAGATGTCCAAGAACCTGGGGGGAGCATGGCCAGGGTGACTGACACCTAAATTGGCAAATAGGTATTCCATACCATGTAACCACAACACGCTCACTATAAATTGGAAAGTTTGCTGGGGATGGGACCCCCTCTTCTCTCTCTTGCTCACTCTTCCTCAATGGTCCCTGTCTCTGGAGGAACTCTGCTCCCAAGGCCTACTTTCTCTCTTCCGGGACTGTGATTTCAGGACTTTCCTTCTCCAGGATTGCTGGCGGGGAACAGACTGGACATTGGCCAAGGGGTGGTGAGCAGCTGCACCATATATCACTTGCCTGTATATACTATTATTGTTATAATGATTATTTTCACTTTTATTTTATTTCAACTATTAAATAATTCTTATCCCAAGCCACAGGTCGTCTTTACTTTTCCCGATTCCTCTTCTTGAGTGGGGAGGGGTCACTGAGTGATAGAACAGCTGACTATTGTTTAGCCACAGATACAGGCTAAATGTAGACATCTATCCAGAAGCTCGAATATGTAAATGATAATAAATCAATTCACAAACCTAAATTGAGTCTGAGAAAATTACCTGCTTCCCCAGATCATAAAAACATTTAATATCCTTGTTCTTGAACCTAGAGGACTTGGTTCCATCTGATGCAGCAGTCACAGATGGAGTAGAGTGACCATCAACGAAATCCGTATCTTTCAGATACACTGCTTCTTACCACTCTTGGTCACAGCATAATAGGCAGCAAGAGTTTTCCAGAGTTAATTAATTGGCTCCAGAGTGGTTTTATGAATAATAAATTGCATCCAGGAACTGGATGGGGATATGTAGTCAGCAGTCTGACAATTTTGCTTATTCACTGAAAGAAAGCTAGAGATAACACCTCATCAAGATCCTGAAATGAACTCTAGTCATAAAAGTGTGCAGCTTCTGTCTTCTCTGGTGTACAGGGAAGACAAATCGTACAGAGATGATTTCTCAATCTAATCAATCTAATCTCTCAGAAGATGGGGATTGCTCATTAGAAACATGGCCACACTGATATTTGGAAAAGGATACATTTACTACTTGTCCCTAGATAGCAACCATGGTAACATCTGCCACAGAAAGTAAAAAAAAAGAACAGTGACATCGGTCCAGAGAAGACACGTTAGCTACATAATAATCTGTGAGGTGAGAGGATTAAGAGCCATTGAAATCCTTGCTTCTCTGTCACAGCACATATAGCTTAATTCTTCAACAAGCAGTTGTCTGAAGAGAATACATTTTTCTACACCTGGCTGTTCTTCAGAGTAATGTGATCAATGAATATCAAGTTGTCAGGGCCACAGAAGGCCAGGTACTGAGGCATGGTGCTGTATAGAACTGAGGGAACACGTTCCAACACCAGGTCCTGCTGTCCGCTTCTTTACCTTTAAAGACACTAGAGGTGGACAGGAAAAAACATGATATTTTGAGAGTGGTGTATGCTAAAATGGTGTCCTGGTTTCAGCTGGGACAGAGTCAGCTCTTCTTTTTAGCAGCCAGAAGAGCTCCGTGTTTTGGTTTTAGTCTGGGACTTGCTCTGAGAAGAACGCTGACAGCGCACAGATGTTTACAGTTGGCACTGAGGTCTCAAGGACTTTTCAGCTGCCGTGTTCTTGCCAGTGTGCAGGAGCACAGCAGGATAAGAGGGAGCATAGCTGGGATGGGGGGTCCATGACTCTCCTTATGATTTGTACTTAGACTTAGGATTGAGGGCCAAACTGGCCAATAAGTATTCCATATCACGCAGCATCATGTGCAGTATAAAAGTGAGGGTCAGCCGGAAAGAAGGGCCTTTGCTCTTCTGGGACTCTCACTCTCGGACTCTCGGAGTGCTCTCTTTGTCTCGCTCTCTATTTTCGGGCCTCTTGCTCGTCCGGGATTGCAATATCGGGACTTAGCTGTTTCGGGATCATTAGTTTGGGACGAGACGGGCCTCGGTCAAGGGGTGGTGAGCAATTACACGGTACATCACTCGTTTATTTATATATTTATCATTGTACATATTAGCCATATATTATTAGTAGTAGTATTAAATTGTTCTTATCTCAACCCACAGGGTGGGGGAGGGTGAGTGAGCAGCTGTGTGGAGTTTAGCTGCCAGCTGGCCTAAACCATGACAAATGGGAATGGCTAAGCAGCCATATTTCCAGTTGAAACAAACACTGATAGTGAAAAACAAGCCAATGTAGCTATGTGCTAGTCTTGCTCCAATACCAAAAGAAGGTGATTTATGTTTCCAACGCAATCACTGGCTGACGTGGTGCCGGTGATGATCAAAACAGTGTCAATACACATTCATTAACTGTTTAGTGAGCCTCTATGACAACTTCACAGCCATGACAGAATTTAATTTCACCGCTCCAAAGAGGAAAAGGCAAGGGGAACGGAGGGTTTTTTCAAGTCAGATTTCTTAGAAGGGTCTGAGTGAGCCCTAGCTGATCAGTCAGGGAGGTTTCTTCAGTAGATTCTATTCATATTGTAAGCATTTATTTCAGAGAATAAACCATGGTTATTATATTTATTATCTTACTATACACACAAAGATAAGAAAAAGTCATACCTGTATGCAACTCAATTGGACCAAGAAGAATAATAGGTTTTAAATCCTCCATCTCTTGCTCAAACATAGCATAGTGAAGAATTTCTTCTTTAATTTCAGTCAGAGATGGACAGCTAGCCAAAAATTGCTGTGTGTAGTTTAAAATGTCAATCAATAAATGCTCTTTTTCATGTTTTTGGTAAAACAAATGGCAACAGTTATTAGAGAATTAGTGAAAATGTATACCAATATTATTCCTGGTTTTAGCCTTCTGTAGCCTTGCTAACATAGTAAAATGCATGTGATGAGGTGTTCATGTTTACCAGTTTCTCTGTCAGTAAGTCTCAAGCTTGCTCAGAAATTCCAATCAAATTTAACAGAGAAACAGATATCCAAGACATGTTAAGTGCCCGCTGGTTTTGTGAAAACAGGTGATGAAACAGAGATCAAAAAAATACGTGCCCATACTTCCAGAAAGAATACACCATTAGCCCAATTACATGTGAAACAATCACAATAAAACATATTTTCTAAGTAGTTTCACGAGCAGAACTCAAGTGTAGAAAGGTTTTTTTGTCTGAGTACCCACACAGGCAGAGGAAGGGTTAGCACAATGCCAAAGAAAGAATGTAGAAACTAGGGCATGTGTGTATAAAACAACTGCATTATTATTGAGGCTTTCTCTGTAGCAGTATCCTTTTCTTCAGTAGTAACTAGATCAAATTAATAACATTAATTTGATTAGATAAATAATCAAATAAATATTATTATTTAATTTTAATCAGACTAACAGTATATTCTCACTCTGCATATAAAGTGGGTTTTTTAGCCCACATAAACTGCACAACTTGCATTGTGACACTCAAAAGATACCAGTGCTCCTGTAGTAAACAATGTGATGGGATATTCACAGATCTATGTGTATGTGGCAAATAAAAATATGTATTAAAATCAAAGTAAACACTTTCCGTTAAAAAAGTGCACAATTATTGGCACTTATGTTGTGGGAATTTCTATGGGGTTTGGTATACATCATGTCAGACTGAGGTAGTTTCTTGTGGCCTAAAATCCAGAGTTCCACAAACAAAAATTTAAGTCATTAACAAATTAGGACCAGTTTATCAGTATCTAGAATGGCACAGAAGCAGGAAAAGCCAAAACCCAACACAAAAATTAGGTAGCATGCTACTCCTTCTGCATAGGAAATATACTACTATTACTGCTGAAACATAAAATAAGAATTTAAGCTGTTAATGTATTTTCTACATCTTTTTCCTTGATATTTTTTCCCCTTGATGTTTTCTGATTTCAAAAGAGTAATGAAAAATAGTCCTGTAGGTGATCATCATTAAACTTACCTGAATTTTGGCATCTCTATCTTCTGTCCACAGCACCTTATATTTCTGAAAGTCCTGTAGAACTTCATTAGCTACTTCTCTAATAGAATTCACAGAAGAAGAGAGGAGCGCAACTAATTTAGAAATATCTTCATGTTCTTCAACACCTGAGTAAAAATTTCTTAGCTTTCTGACAAGCCCATCTTCAACTCCTTCTGTAAAATAAAGTTATGTGTAAATGAATAAACCATTAAAAGTCTGGTTAGAATTCTCTTCTAAACCTAATCATGCCAAATTAAGCAATGATGCTCTTCAGTAAGGCTGAATATCGTCCTTCAAATGTGAGTCTGACTGCTTAATATGAAAGTACCAAATGCTAGTTCAGGCCAGGCTCTAACACTTACGTAAATGTGAAAAGCTATTTCTGATAAATGTAGCTAATTAAATTAAAATAAACCCAACAAATTAATTCAAGATAATCCACAGTTGGCTTCTTTGAAAAAAAGGGAGCTTATTCACAAATATTTACATATGGCATTTTTATTAAAGTAAAAAGTTGAAGTAAGTAAAAAAAAAAAAAAAACCAACAAAACACCAAACACTTACTTTGCCTTTTTTTGGCTATTTTTCCTGATGATCCAAAGCCTACTGAAGATAGTTGCTGTGCGACTGATTCCACTTTTAAACTAGATTTTTGCAAACGTTTCTGTCCCCACTGAGCAACTCCACAACTTACTTCCAGTATTAACTCAATCATGCGATTGATGGCTTGCTGTATATCGTCTAAACTGGGAACCATTACCTATTTAAAATGGTTGAAATATTGTTGAAATAAATGTAACCAATTGTCGTTTTCTAAGATCTCAGTTTTATTCCACTCCTAGTGAATTGTATAACTTGCCCCAGAAGAAAAGCTAGAAAATGTAACTTTAACAGTTTGTCTGGCTCAGAATTACCTCTAAAGAAATGAAACCTACTGTATTGACCTACTGTCTATCGGTATAGTGATACTATGGGTAAAATAACAAGGAAGCGCACAAGGAGATAGGTTTATTGCTTTTTTTTTTAAATTATTTTTTACAATTCCTACAACATTTTAAACAGTATTTTTGTAATGACTTTTTATAATGTGTGGGAATTCATTAAAAGCCTTGTTTCCTGCATTCTAGAATCACAAAGCATTAAAAATTGAAGGCCAAGATCCTCCTCTCTGTTGCTCTTACCCACTGGATCCTAAATTCTGTGAGAGGGAATTATAGGAGGGATGGTCACAAAATATGTATGGACAGCTCATATCAACAAGGTAAAAATTCGATACTTTGACAGACCTTACATATCATGAGTACACACACAGTGTGCACGTACAACAGAAAGTCAATATGAACACCAGTTCAACGTCAAAAGAGTATCACCTTAGAACAGAACTTTTCTTTCATTATAATTTCATGAACATAAAATGTTTAATTTTTATAAGACAATTGGATAATATTAAGTTACCTTCTTATATATAAAATAAAATACCATACATATTATGGCACCAATCATTCTTATCCAGCTGGACTGAGTTGAGATAATGAACTAATTAACTAATCAACTCAAGGTACCTATCCTGCCTACAAGAGGCAGGCCATTTCCTCCTGGCTGCGGAGGATGCAACAGCGTCCTTGGTGCTGCAGCCCAGGCTGGTGAGCAACAACATATTACTGACACAGTTATCTTACTGTACAAAAGGAAAACAAATGAATGCATTAGTTCTTTGCAGTCAAGCTGCCTTTTTATTCTCTGCACACAGAAATCCACGGCTCTTTTCTTGGTTTAGAGTCTTGTCATTTTTGTTTAGTGTTCCTCCTTTTGGTCATCTTACTTCCTACTAAGATGATTAAAGCCAAACTGAGTAAAGATAATGTTCATTTCTTTTATTCAACAGAGGATTTAAATCACGCTAGGAACAAAACAGTCAAAATAAAAAACAAACATGAAAAATTTATTCCAGCAATGCAACTGCTACACATGAAGGAGAACTGTAATCATTCTGCAAAGAACACTGATGAACAGATTGCAATATAATTGCTGAAACACAAAAGAACAATAAAAGGCCAGGTTCTGCAAGTACCACTAAGACAGAAACCAGGAACACTGGGACTGTGAGCACATTTCATCAGTGCTGTCAGCACACTGAAAGGCCTGAACAACAGTTCTCCTTTGGAATAGATGCTGGCTCAGTAGAAGTATGCTCACATATCCCGCACTTGGGAAAATGCAGATAACTACAAGACAGTGTATTTTACCTTACCTATATGACACAACTTACCACATTGGGAATAGCAAGGTGTACTTCTGCTTTTACAAAAGAAGCAAATTCTTCAGACTTGCTTGGAAAACCAGAAAACTTTGTTCTCCCAAATGTAGATTTGCTGAAAATAATTTTGAAACATGTCATAAATACTTCACCATTAAACCCTCTCAAATTATCTTAGAAATATAATTTTGAGCTACCTTTTCTGGACAAACACTCACAGAGAATTTTCACATTAAGTTATGAACTACTTGACAAAACTTACAGCAGCTTTTTGTTTAAAGGGTAAGGATAATAGTCAGAGCTCAATCATTCAGACAAAGGTTACCTTGGATCCAGCCATTGCTTTCAGAATTTTTTATCCAGAATATTTTCTGATTCTGGATTTTAATCTCCCAATTTAAGAATGATGGAACTCTGACAGTGCTTTGAGTAGGATATAAGAAGGTTTTACTGACCATTTCATGCAACAACCTATCAAGAGTAACAGTTTCCTCGTTACATTTTAGATACTTATTCAACAGAATAGAAAAAAAAATGTTTCAAAGACGACAAGCTAGTGCAAAATTATAAATACATGACCTGAACCCACTCAAAACTAAAAGTAGAAACAAAGTGCAAAGTACCATTTCTAAATGCTATGACATGACATGGTGACCAAATAAGGGAGAATTTAACAATATGATACCATAGACAAATATAAAGGACACACCCAAATAAATTCCTATCGACCTCCATAAGACCAGGATTTCAATACATTTTCTATGAAAGATGTCCTCAGAAAAAGAAAAAAGTAACTCAAGCTTCAACACACATTAATGACAAAACACCATCAACTTTACCTGCTTAAAATAAATTCTCTTAATAAGATTCTAACTAGGCTTTTCAATATACAATAAATTATACTGAAGCAATTCTGTCTCTGAAGTGTATGCCTATTCAAGCAGAAGAGAATCTATAGAAATTATACTGAACATAGGAGAATGATAAAATTGTATGGATCTTGCCATTATCATACAGAATTCATAAAGAGTTCATGGATGATCTTTAACCCATGGAAAACAACTCTGAGTGCATAGCCATGCTTGCAGGAATAATCTGAAATGAGACGAACATATGGGCACACTGCCATATATGACCTAGAAGAGTCACTTAAGTTCTAGTCATTTGTGTTAGACAATAAATTGTACTAACAGCATCCTGAAAGCAATCCCCAGGGAAAAATATGTGAGAATTAAAACAAAAGGGTGCTGGTAGAAGGGAAACAAGAGTAGAAATAAACTTCATTTTCTGCACAAAACACATTGTGTAGACTATAACTAATGACATAAAGAATTAAAGCATAGAAGAAAAATGTGGGCCCAAATTATCACTACAACAAAAAGTGAATGGTCTTGAGGTTTTGCTTGAGCTAAAAGGTCCAAGAGAACTGTTTGACTAATGATACAAATGCTGGTGTCATTACATGTGTGAATGGGTGTTTGTATTATTATATAAACACACAAATAACTTTGTTCTAGTAATACTATTGAAGGAATCTTTCATCTGCAACTTACTTTGAAACAAATATTCTTTTTTTAAGACTCTCCAAGGACAGTCGGGTGGCTTTCTGGAGGCTGCCTAGCAGCTGGTGACTGAAATAGGCAACCATCTCTTTGCATTTCTGTGATAAATAAAATGTACATTATTTAGTATTTTATTCAGACAGGAACCTGAAGATTATTTCAAAACATTTTAAGTCAAACATATTAGTTCTCATCTGAAGGAATTTATGCTGTAAACTACATGAGAAACACAAGGAGAGAAGTTGGAGGAAAAATAGCTTGTTGGTAAGTAAATAAGTAAAAGCTGCATTAAAATAAGAATACAATACGTGAGGAAACTCAATTTGTCTTATTCAGAGACAGAATAGTGAGATCTGGCCGAAGTCTCATACTCCTTCAGAAAAACTCTCCACATTAAAAAAAACTTAATATCGGTGCATATGTACCCTTTTCAAATAAGAGACAAATACTGTAAAATCTGACTGTACTGGATTAAGAAGAACATAAAAATACAGCAACATGTACTGATCACTAGCACAAAACAACAGAAGGCAATCTTGTAAAATTTATTGCACTTGTGCTTGTAAGTTTGTGAGTCTTTGTTCTCTACTTCCACTTCCCTTCTCTGCTGAATATGAAGATACTATATTCTTTGAGGAAAAAGTACAAAGGTGATCTTTCTTGGTGAAGTTGGAAGAAGATAGAAAGGATGAATGTTTCTGCCCACTGAAGAATGAAAGCCTGTGTTACGACTTAGGCACAATATTCTCTCCAAACTTTTACACTTACCACTCACACATCAAGAATTTGTTTAATAAAAGTGATAACTGGAATAACATGGAATATACTTTTGAAAGCTAACATACATCTTAAACTCACTTTGTAGGGAAGCTATTTCATCATTTTTACATGATGTTTGATATTCTCTATGTGATGCCTTTCTGTAACACAGATATCCAGCTATCAAAACTCAAGATAGCATTCACTAATCTGATTGGTCTGAAAAAAAATCCCTTCTTATCACAATATACCTTTTTAAACTCTTCTTTATCGTTGCCCTTGCTATTATCGTCATGAAGAGCTGAAGAAGTACTTTCTCTCTCCTCTTCATTATTTCTAAATGCTATATGCTTTTCTTTTACTGCAAAATTTTAAAAAAGAGGTATTTTTTGTTAACTGAACATTGTGTTCTGCTTTGAAGCTCTACAAGCAAAACAATATTGCTTTTTATTTTAGTAGTACCTGAGTCAGCTATTTGGGTTTATTTCACAACATTTCTTTCACACCGGGAATCTGGTTAAGAGCCCACCCTATAAACCTCAGTCTAACAAACACCATGCACTACAAATACGTTACTAAAGACAGGTAGGCAGACATGGATATATCAGCTGGAAATGGCCAAAACCTAATAAATTCAATATAAACAATTTAACAAAACTGTATAAGAAAAGGAGCACCATTACTGATCAAGCCTCATAATAAATTTGTCTTTAAACCAGAGTATTTTTCTCCAACTATAAACTATTTCTCCTATATTGGTACCGGACCTCCTAAAATCTTTGTAACAGATCCCTTAGCAGTGGGAACCAGCCACATTGATGAGCTGTGAGCCTTGTATGGCAGCAGTTGATAAGCAATTGGCTGTGGCAGAAAAGTCACAAACAGAGGGACAGTACCAAGTACCTGACATGGCTGAGAAGAAAGGAACGCTGCATTTCACCTATGGAGGGGGCAGGGGGGAGGAGCAGAAAGTTACAATGAGTGACTAAGAGAAATCAAACCAGAATGTTCTTCCTCTAAAGCAACTGCCTTGGTAATCTAAAGAGGACAGAATTTAATTTTAGAAATTCCACCAATACTTAATTACCTCTGTATTTCACAGGCTAGTGGTTTAGTTTAACAGTGGTAAATGAAGGCAGAATTGTGACACAAACAAAACTGTAGTGGGAGGGAGAAGTCTGAAGACAATTAGCTAAAAAAAAATAACTTTTGATACATATTAGCTAAACCTACAGAACTAGGGACAGAAATTTTTATCTAAATAATCAATATTATCTACCTGGTAATACATGTTTTTCTGAGGTTCTCTTGGAATATTTAATTTCATAATCCTTTTCAAATACAGATGTTAGTTCTTGAACAGCATCTTCAATGTGCATGCTTTTGTGGTTCAATAACTCAGCACATTCTTTAGTATAAGTCTGTTAAATAAAAATATCTATGAATTATCTCAGAATCATTGATTGTCTTATTATTGTTCCTTTTCATGGAGAGCCAAAACATTTCCCTGACTATTTCGATGAATCAGTAACATTTTTAAAAGAAAACTGAGAAACCAAACCCAAAATCTTTATTCAAAATTATAAAAATATTCTGTTATAACTATATTTTTAATGCTTTAAAAAAAATTCCATTTTTGAAATGCAATGGTATTTTTAAGGGCTAGGAGAAAATCCTGAATATTGAAGGGAGGTCACAGTCTGAATCTGAAATTACCCAAATATTCTTTCAACTGTCCTTAACAATTTTATTTACTTGCACTAATTTACTAACTAAATATATCTTTGGCCTCATTTGGAGTCAAGAAAACTTTCCAATTCTCAAATATACTAGCTGAAAAGTATTTTTTGCCATCTCTTTCAAAAAAAACAGTTTGGAAAAAATAGGAAGAAGAAAAAAAAGGCTGCATATGTCCAAGTATCTTCACACACACACACAAAAATATCTTATCGAATTGTGAAGCAGTTAAACAAATAAAAACGATCTATGAAATACTACAGCTTAAGTATCTCAAATACCTAAGAATCTATTTATCTTCATATAAAATATTTTAACCAAAATATTTTAATTAAAATAAAAAGCTCTGTATTTCTACAGTGAGAATAATTCTTTTCTAGTTTTATATTAAGTTACTAAGGCATTGTTTCTAATGTTCTAGAATTCAAGTTCGAAGATGTAAAGTGGCACACACCTCATTGCAGGTCAACATATCCTCTACTTTCATAGGACCATCTACTGGTAAGACAATTAAAAGAGTATTTGCTATTTCTTTTAATATTAAATTAATCCGCACTTCAGTTAAATCATTAATCTAAAAAGAGAAAATTGTATTAACACCGTGCATTCATCTTTACAGCATAATGTACTATATTTTAGAGAGTTCTAACAGGCATGCAATGTTTTGCAGAAAAAAATTAAAAAATAATTTTGTATCTCTACCCAGTGAAAATGCAAGAACATTACCATAGTAGCAAATCCTCTAAGAAAGTGAATCATAACAGGCACCAACACAAAAGACCTCAAGATGAGACAAGGAGAGAAAAAAGGTAGCTCAACAATGCCTTATGACTTATGGTACATAAGTGAAATCTTTAGAGGAATTTGGTGTTTCGACCTACTTCTTCACAGGTTTCTGGTTATCAGCACCATATTTTTAAATTCACTATGTACATGAAATTAATTCACAGACAGTATAAGCCAAGACTATAACTTTGTCATGGCAGAATCCAAATAAAACTGACTTCTGCCCAATTTTTAATTTTTTACCTGAAATATTCTGCATCTGTGATATCCCATCTTTATCACTCGTGCTTCTGTTTCACATCACTTTTTCCCTATTTGTTTACAATATCCCATTCACAGTAATCAAGGGTCTAACCAAGTTTACATCTGTTTGTATTGGTATGGAAGGGGTAAGAAAGCCAGAAATGTACACAATCTAAGTATTTAAGGACAACAGAGTGTAACTACAAACGACATCATTATTTCAGATATTCTCATGTTCAGAGAACTGTTAATTTCTTACACAGCCAATCTTTTTTTCAGCTTTGCGTTTCAGTGAAAACAGAGCACTTGCTCATAATTACATTTTTCTGCCATACAGAAAAAGAAGTGGATATATCCACCAGTGACTAACAATTTCCTACCACAGGAGACATAATTTATGATATTGATAGAAGAGATCATTAGCATATAGTTGAACCATCAAGCCAGAAGGATGATCTGACTATCAAGGTAAAGTCTTGAGAAGAGCCAACAGAGGTTCTCAAGTATGTTAATGGAATAAAAAGAATTCAGAAATTACATGGCAAATGCAGACAGAGGGGTAAAAAGCACAGAATTGGTCACATGCAGAGAACTGTGAGGAAAAAGCATGTTCCCTTCATTATTTTATGGGCTGCATGAAGAGAAGACAGTTTCACAGCATGCCTGCTACGAATACAGTTAATGTTAAAAAGTTCTCCACTGGATAGTGTTTACATGAAGGTATCTCGTGTGCAACTGTAGTCAAGATGAGCAGAGGCTGACTCTGAAAATCAGAGTGGTAGTCACAGAATCTGAGGAGAACAAGTGGAAATATATTCTACTATAAGAATGGAAGCAGAGATCAAATGTTTGAGGGTAATAATGGGAGAGAATAATTGAGTATATCATTCTTCAAAAAAGAACACAATTTAAAAAGCAAATAAAATTTATATATATTTCAAGTGGTACAAAAATAAGTACAAATTAATTTCCAATAAGAGGAGTAGTATACTGGAAATAATTTCTCTAAACTGTCATTTCATTCATATAGTAATCAAGTGTATACCTTCTTCAAAAACTGTTTAAATATATACAGAACTTGATCAGCTTCTTGAAAGAAATTCTCCAGTGTCACAGATGACCAAGTCAACATGGTAAGTCCTTGCCTCAACACAGCTTCCACCTAAGCATAAAAATACAATTTCATAGATTAAAAAAAAAAAAAAAGAGAGAGAAAGAAACAGTTTAAAACAAATGCCATTCTTATTAGAACCATTAATGACACTGGTGAAAGAAAGAGTTGTGTCTAAGTTTTGCACGGAAGGTTCAAATTTTCAAGGAAAACATCAAAGAAATTTATGCAATATTGGAGAAGAGGAGGGTAGTGTGTACTACAGCCTCTGTCCACAACTGTCAAGTCTACATGCTCAGCAAAGATCTTCTCCTTCCTGTTCTCCTGGATAGTGCCTTTTAGTTGTTCCCAGTACTTACTAAAATTAAAATCAAGTCCACTATTGATCTTACAGTCTGCCCTCTAACATGTCTCGACCACTCTCAACAGCATAATTACTTGTCTTTCAACCTCATGTATCTACCTAATCATATTTTTCCTTCATCCCTTTCTGAATCACGCTGATCTTCTCCAAATTTTGTTGTAGCCTCGATGCTATTTTTAAAAATCTCCTCTTCCCTACTATTTCCCTTGTTGAATTCTTGGTTCTCCACAGTCTGTTTCTTCTGGATTTGTCAGCATGTAGCTGAAATCGGCTCATTTCCCTCTCACTGTAAGATCTAAACCAAGGTCCATCCTTCAATGCAGATCCTGTACTGTCAAAGGAGATGGGACTCTGAGGAAAAGGAGGTCTTATACTACCCGCAAGCTATGAAAATTAACCTTTCCAGACTCTCTCGCAGAGCTCCCCTGAATTTTTTGCCTAGCATTCCAAAACTTCTCACTGATTTCCCAGTATACAGCCACTACAGTTTCAAATTTCGCCATCTCCATCATCCTTGAAGTGACAGAAATTTAATTTTACTTAATTGCTCTGAGACTTTGAACTGATTCTACTCATATTTAATTTTAAATAGCCACCTATCATATCTGCTTTTTCATCTTGACATTTACCAAGTCACTGCCTGGACTTCACCTACTCTTTTCATCCTAATGCTTCTTTTGGCTATGTCTATATCACAGCTAAAACAATTAATTTAGCCCATATACACTCACAGCTATTTGCAAATACAGCCATTACTATCACCTTCATAAATATATTTTTGGGGAATATATTTAATTCCATAATGCTGAGATGGTACTGTTACTGGTAACCAACGTAGCCAATCTAGAAACAGTTTAAGGCTCTGTATGGGTTGCTGTAAAATTATGGCACTAATGTAGCCACAGATTAGGTTTGCTGATTCCATCTTTGGATTTGTGCTTTCCTTTCTTCTTCCCATACACCAAAGACTTCTCTCCCTTCTTCTAAAACACATTTTCATCTTCCGTTGTTTGTACAATACTCATCCTTCTCTTTTGCCAGTTGTTTCCTCTAAAATACAGAGGTGTATGAGTCCCTCTATGACATAATCATGTTTAAAATAGTATCACTAAAGTGAAGGTTACTATCATTTCATCTCTTTGTCTTTAAAGAATAAGGACAAGTTTTTCGTTTCTCTCACTTCAGTGCATGCCAACAAACTTGTGCAAACTCTGCAACATTCTGATGTTATTATTTACAACCAAAAAGAGAAGAGTTACTTAGAACAATCACATACATACACTTGCAAGTGTTTGGTAAAACAAAATGGCTTGTATGATAGCAATTCTGCATCTCCGATAAAACTGTACCTTTAGTGTGGTATATAACCTTTCTGCTTCACTGAAGAGACTGACTCAATTCACAAGGCTAATAATTCTCTCCAAGCAAAGACAAGGATCATGACATTTAATATTTCAGCTATATGCAAAGCAAAACTCCCCATGAAAACCTCTAAAACTGAAATAAGTGATAGTTTACTTCCATGTCAAAGCCAGAGATTTGCGTAGATAAATAGACCTGCAAAGTCCATATTCTTTGTTCCACTGGGTTTACATCTCATAGGCACTAAGATTCTACTGTAATATACATTGTTTGAGCACTGTATGAAGGATGCAAAGAGCAAATTTTTGGTCTTAAAGATTTTAGTAAAATTCATTAGGTTTAAAACATGCAGATTCATCTAAATATTTTAAAATTATAAACTATTATTAAGGTATTCTAACTTCTTCTGAAGTATACTGAAGTGCATTTAGTAATACCAACCTCTTTCATTTTTGGTGCCAATAGATTTACAAAAATCATTGGTGTTTCTTGACTCAAATCTTCATAACATTGGAGAACACCCTGTTAATTATTAGAAAGGGTAGCATCAAGAAGGATATTTTAAGTGCTTTCTTTACTGAAGCAAACAACCTGTTATACAACCAAATAATCAGAAAAAACATGGAAAGCAGTAAAAGACTACATTTGAAAACAAGTGTAGAATTTTACACAGACATTATATACCTATGTACATAATTTCTGGAATGTAATGGATCCATAGCATGCTACATAAGGAAGAACGAAAGCAGCCTTTGTGCAATGCACTCTTTATGCATAAAGTCAGACAAAGTATGATCTTCCCCTAGAGTTAAATATAGCTCGAGCTTTAGTGACCATAACTTGCAATACCCGCTTGAAACTGAGTATCATATGCTTTAGATAATTACTCACATATAAACGCAGTTTTAAAATGTCCTCTTCTCTTATGCCTTACACACACACACAAATCTTTTATGGTACACCTCATCCCCAAGATATAAGCATCTCAAAATACTACAACAATAGCAAATACTGCAACAGGGATCAGAAATCTGAGTTGTCTGGCATCAATTCTTGATGTTTTTGTGGCTCACTGGATCTTCCAATCCAGAAGACTTCCAATCTTTACTTCACAAGAACTCTGTAAAACTGTTTTACTGATTTTCAGAGTGAACGCTTTTTTTGGATAGCTTTAATTATTTCATCACCAGAATATATTTAACACATCGCAGGATATAAGAAATATATATGCTTATATTTAAGTGTATACTAGCCCACACAGTAGTTAGTACAGATTTTTCAAAAGAGATGCTTTATGTACACCTGTGCATTCCACAAATTTACTTTAAACTACCTCATATCCAACTATAATTTTTATTTAGCCATAGAAAAATTTCTATGGTTAAATCAGATTTTCTTTTTAATTTTTTTTAAAGAGCAATCATGAAAATTTTTAAGGTTACCTCTAAACGCAATTTGTTGGACTTCAGGTTATTTTCTATTTTTGCTATATTTTTTGCTTGCTCCGGTACTTCCAGACCCAGCTTTATCATACATTTAGTCTCTCGGACAATCTCTGAAATTTCGGGATCAAAATTAATCAGGAACTTCCCAGTTTGAGGATGACGAGCAAATATTGTGGCTTGTAAGGCTGCAAAGACATTTTTTTTATCAGTTTCTAAGACAAATAATTGATTTTTAATATAAATTATTATGGAACACAGATTTCTCATATTACTATAGAGCGATTAAATAGGTACGATTATTTGTGAAATAGCTTCAAGCTGTTTTCAGTTAAAGAATATACAACTGACCTTCAACATATTGGCTTTCTGCCATATATAACCTTTTTCTTCATAAGCCAAACAAGCATCACATCCATTCTTCTTTGTAGCATACTTTTTCTTAGCTCGAGTTAGAAAATTATCAAATTAATTTTATAAGAATGTGGAAACACAATACTTATGAGATGTTCAGTTTCTTATAGCAATTTGTTAACCCAGAGGATGAATGCTTGCCCAGATATATTGCAAAAATCTAAAACAAAATAAAGGCCCAAATAGCAAAACAAAAACCTCTGTTGACTGTGTGATGACAAGATTTTATTCTTTAGATCTACTTCTAGTTTTGAAGCCCACAGAATGTCTACAATTTCCATGAAAAATCTACTCAAATTATTTTTTTTTTAATTTAAATTCTCATTTAATCTTAAAATGATAAAGCTTGATTATCAAATATTTATTCTAGGCATAAAGTAATACTCGACCTGAGAGAGACTGAGATAATACAACTGTATAAATTATTATAGTGGAAAGAAAACAGGAAGAATTATTAAATGGCATACATAAAAAATTTGAATACAAAAATGAACAACTGTGTGCCTTAAACTTGTTTCACTACTGTTTCCAGTCATCTGTCAAACAGTGTACCAAATCTGCAATCCTCTGCATCAAAACCAAGTTTCGAGGTCAGTAAGGGGCAGAGATTTGTATTATTAAGCCTGCTTATTGGATCATGATTGTCACATTTTAAGGGTAAATGAGGCTTAAAAAATTAACTGATTTGATTTGTGTTAACTTAGCATTCAATAACAGTTAAAAACAGCCAATTACATATTTAATTACTTACGATATTGTAATTTTGATATTTCCTTCATCCACGCATTATGATAGACTATCTCGAATTTCACCAATACATAGGCAATCCTGTTGTATAATCGAACAACTGCTTTACCTTCTGGACTTGCCAAGATCTTTGACTTTTTCTATTAAAACATAGTATATTCAAATTAAAACCATATCAAAAGAAAATAATACTATTTTGTTTTTTCTCAATTTACCTATTAACTATGCATTACACAAGTTATATAAATACATATACAAATTATACTTAGAGTTCTTAAAAACTGTATCAAGTATTTATAGGGCAATAAAGTCAGTAAGAACTTGTAAGTAATAAATACTAAATATATAACACATGTAAAAGTGATTACTTTATTATACTATTATAAATACCTGTAATTCACAGTGAATTGAATACTCAGTTCTACTCAAAATTGAGTAGTAACTAAAAATTGATTTTTTTAAAAATCCCCTTTTTTAATCAGTAATAATATTTATGTCTGTTTTCTTTGGAGCAGATTTAGGTGGTCATTATTCCCATCTGAGAGAAACAGTAAGTGAAAACCCCTCTCACATCGACGTTAACTTGGCAGGAGACCCTAGATACTTTGTAGGAGAATCATTCAAACATTTAAAGAAACATTATTGCTATAGTGGAGCCTAGTACAGCAAGATTCGGACTATTGCAATGAAGGAAGGAAATCCAATACCAAGAAATTCCTAAGGGCTGTAAATATTAAAGCTTATGTGGCTGGTACCAACCTTCAGCTGTATGTTAAGCGGTACAGAAAATGTAGAATGAGAAGTTTAGTCAAGGAATTCCCTTTTCACAGACTAGTTCAGAGATCACCTGCAATAAAACTGGTGACCAGATTCTCAGTTACAGTACTGCAGCTAATGTGTGGGTCCTTACAATAAAATTGCTTTTTCAGTGGTACCAAAACCTATACACCAGACAATTTCAGGATGTCATGCAGTCCACATTTATGCCTTAAGATACTCCTAGAAGCCACTTGAAAAAAAGAGACATGATTCTCCACAGAGAATCCTAAGGGGCTAGAGGAACAGAAGAGGTGGTTACTCAGTTAAAGTACAGGACATGAGTCTTATGTACGAGCCTTGGTCTGGTCCATTACAAAAAGAGGAAAACCACCACTGGCTGGATTGGTGAAATATTTCTTTGGGCACTATGAAGATAGACATGGACAACTCAGTGCATATTTCCAGCTTGGGGTGCTAGTTCAGTGCTAAGTCAAAGAAACAGTTTCTCTGGATTTTAGTAAGGCTTTTGATTCTGTCCTTCACAGTATCCTTCTGGACAAGTTGTCCAACTGTGGGATGATCTGGATGCAGGAGTTGAATGCACTATTAGCAAGTTTGATAATGACATCAAACTGAGAGGTGCTGTTGACTCTTTTGAGGGACAGGAGGCCTTGCAGAGGGATCTAGACAGAGTGGAGCATTGAGCTATGCATTAATGGGATGAAATTTAAAAGTTGAAATGCCGGATTCTGCACCTAGGACAGAATAATGCCAGGCACAAGTATAAAATGGGAGAGGAGTGGCTGGAGAGCAGCCCTGCAGAAGGGATCTGAGGGTGCTGGTCGACAGCAGACTCAGCATCAGTCAGCAGTGTGCCTCGGCAGCCAAGAGGGCAAACCGCATTCTGGGGTGTATCAAACACAGCATAACCAGCTGGTTGAAAGAGGCGATTATCCCACTGTACTCAGCATTGATGCAGCCTCACCTTGAGTACTGTGTGCAGTTCTGGGCCCCACGATTTAATTAAGAAGGATGTTAAGGTCCTAGAATGCATCCACAGGAGAGCAACAAAGCTGGTGAAAGGGCTGAAAGGAATGTCCTATGAGGAACGGCTAAGGACTTCGAATTTGTCTAGTTTGGAGAAAAGGAGGCTGAGGGGCAACCTCATTGCTCTCTACAGTTTCCTGAGGAGTGCAAAGGGAAAGGGAGATGCTGAGCCCTTCTCCCTGATATCCAGTGATAGGATGTGTGGGAATGGTTCAAAGTTGCATCAGAGGAGGTTTAGACTGGACATTAGGAAACATTTCTTTACCGAGAGGGAGGTCAAGCACTAGAACAGGCTTCCTAGAGAGGTGGTCAATGTCCCAAGCAGCCTGTCAGTTGTTTAAGAGGCCTTTTGGCAATGCCCTTAACAACATGCTTTAACTTTGACCTTGAATTGGTCAGGCAGCTGGACTAGATGATCATTGTAGGTTTCTTCCAGCTGAAATAGTCTATTCTAGTCCATTCTAACACTACATGTCAGATCTACAACAGTGCTTACTGCAGATCATATTTTTTTAACTAGATATTGACATACAAATAAACAAGTTTCCCAGCATATGAGAAGTGACATAATCATAGCCAGAAACATCATGGTCACTCTACTGAAGTAAGACGGTTCACTGTTACACAAACACCTAATTTTTCCTCACATCAACTTACATGGAAATAGTTTATCGGTTCATTTATCCTTCTGAATAGCTGTCTCACCCACAGTATCTTTCCTGCAACAGGTGGCATGTTTCGAGCAAGAGGAGGGTCATCCTTCTGAGTTTGGTAAAGCTATGATAAGAACAGTATCATTAAACACATGGATTAAAAAATCTGTTGAAATGTTAAACTATCTTTCCTCTGGTGCCATAATTTCTTCCTCTTCCCAAACAGATTAAATTTGTGTAGACTCACAAAACAGTTCATTGAGAGACAAATGTATTGCTTCCCCCCACTTGCTACACTTCTGAAATGCACACATGGATACCACTGTTGGTATGTCTCCTGTCTTCATTATCTCGTGCTGTGCTTCTTTACAACGGAGCCCTGAGTACACCAAAAGGCATTGCAAACCAAGAAGATGAGCAGCCAGCATGTAAGGCCAAGCCTAACAGGTGCAGCTGTGTAACTTTGGAGCCATCTACTGTGAAAGCAAGCTGTATAAGGAAGTGGTATGAGAACTCTTGTTGGGGCTTTTCCTGCTTTGCTTGGGAACTGCCCTCAGGAAAGGTCTAAGCCATATGGTTAACTGGGCGTTTTTACCTGAATAGAAATGTCAACATTGCTTTTCAGACACATACACCTGATTAATAGCTAACATTTCAGGAGTTAGAGCTGATGATTCTTGTGAGTCCCTTCCAACTCAGGATAATCTATGATTCTATATCTTTTTTATTAACTTCTCATCAATATGCATGTAGAGACTCCTGGGTACACAGACCATGCTTTTATCTGTGCCCAAACTGAGAAAAAAAAAAAGTGGCCCTGCTCATTGAATGGATGCATTATAATCAAGAAAAATTTGGCTTAAAATTATCACATACCAAATTTGCATTGACAAATTATGTAAGCACTTTAGAACCAGTATTGCAGCGCTTTTATTAGAATTTTTATTAGAATTAACTTGCTTGGCAAAGATAAAAAACAATCCAATAATATCTAATAAATAGTTAGAACTAGCCAGTATATTGGCGACCTATTCTTCAACAGAAGAAATACTTCTATCTACCCAACTTCAGGCATGCAAACTCATGCTGTGATAACACAAACAACTGTACTGCCTAGGCAAACACCACTCTTCACTTATTTGCATGTCTTCTTACCCCTATACTGTCTCCTGTACATTCCCAACAAAAGAAATTCAAGTAGTTCATGGTGATCTTGACAGGAACTGACCTGGATGAAAACCTCTCAGAAATGTACCTATTTTCTTGGCTGAGAAAAAGTAGCTGAGAGGGGGAGGCGTCAGTGATTTCTTATATTCAGCAGTACTGCCTGCTTATGTTCATCAAATTAAACCAGTAATCAGAAGTTCAAGAAGTGCCATACAGGGAAACCCTCCACTACACCACGTTGTTCAAAGCCTCATCCAACCTGGCCTTGAACACAGTCAGTGAAATAGGTAAAATAAATAAAAATTATTCATATTGAAATATTTGCTCTTATTTTAACATGATGTTTAAAATTTATTGCAAAGAAATGAAATACCTTTTTAGTAGCTTCAAGTTCTGCTACATAACGCTGAAGAATACAACCAACTGTGTGTGCTGTTTCTTCTTGAAGGCATGGCATTCTCAGATTTTCAAACCTGTATTAAAAATGAATACCCAAAATGATATTTCTAAAACACAAGTAATTTTTTTTTTTTTTATTTTGGGGTACATGAATGTTACATAGAATGAAAGAAACACAGATCTAGGAAATGCTTCTGGATCTGGGAAATTTATTTACTTTGAGCAAGTTTAAGCAAGTTGAAAAGTTCTGCCCTGGTGGTTTTTTTGTTGTTGTTACTGTTGTGGTTTTTTAGGTTTTTCTTTTAGTATCCTCTTGTATATACAAAATAAACTGTAATGAAATTAAGAAACAGGAAAATATATTGATTCACATAAGAAAGATAATATATACCTTTTATGATGATTACATGGTTCAGAACACCAATAAGGAAAAATTTTTGATTAGGCCCTTTCTTCTAAAATTAGTTGTGTTATTTAAATTGCGCTAATCAGTCATTCGAAGTTACTTTGAAACATTTTAAAATATAATTGACAATACCTTTGAAGTAACTGAAGTGCATGCTGTGAAGACAAAATTCTTCCAAAACAGGTACGCATAAATGTCTGTATCTGTATCTAAAGAATATATAATTTAGTAGTATTTTTAGTCATGTAATAGTATTTTGATGTCTGATAATTTCTTAGCACTTGAAATTGTTACTTCTTAAAGCACAAAATATCAGCCTTCATCAGTCCATGCTGAATATAATTAATAAATAGCTAGCATCAGTCAAGTAATCTCTTAAAATGCCAGACAATTTAGGTGAAGAATCAAATCATGTATTGAAAACAGTTGCAGCTTCCTTCTGCCCAGAACCTAACCATTTGTCTCCAGGCTAATAAACCACATCCCTGTAGATCACTCTCTCAGGTCTCATAATTTTTTGTCATTTTGGCTGCAGAGTGACTGATCTTCAGTGAGGACTGTATAATATATTTTACAGCGTCCTTTGGAAGAAGAAAGAATGGAAAAGCCTCACTCCAGAAAAACACAAATGCTATGGTCTTTGGAAGAACAATGTAGCCTATTCACAGTTCAGTCTCACTGAGGCTCAGGGAGATACTGAGTAAGCAGTGATGAAACTCTTCTCCAAGTAAGGTACAGGTAGCAACATCATTTACCTCTAAACCTTCAATTTTTGCCATGAAGTTCTCAAAATCCACATCAAATTCTGTTTTTCTTGGATCAAGTAAGTCATATTGTTTCTTTTGAACACTTCGGTGGATGTTTTTGAATTTTACTGCTAGAATATCTATCCCTTTGATGGTAGACAGACTCAGTGCACAAAAAGTTTGTACTACAGTTATCATCTTTGTAATCTGAAATATAAACATTATATTCATGTTCATAAAAAATTATTTGTTACTTTCTCTATAATCTAAAACTTGAGTAAAATAAAATAAACAATAGCCACTTCTCTAACTACTGCCTTCGGAAACGTGTTGCTTCTGAGCTTCTAAGTCAAGTATCTTCAATTTGAGCATGGTCAATTCAATTTTCAACATCAGTTCTCACCACAACCCAATACAAAGTACAACCATCTTTGATTTTTTTACATGGTAAAGGGTTTCTTTTTCTCATATTTGACAGATGCAACATGATAATATGGAAAAAGAGTTAAAACATGACATACACATATTGATGACAGATTTTGCAGAATAAAAAACTATCCATACAGATTAGTACAAATACTGCATGATAAAGGAAAAACATCAAAGACTCACAGAATTCCTGCCCTGTGATGACTGCCCCCCTATCCTTTCATACCTTGTCTGACCTTATTCTGCACCAAGGAGCCCCTGTTATCTTTTCCATGCAAACTCTATGAATGCCAGTTTAAAATCCTTTCATCAGATTAGCAAGCTAAATGTCAAGACCACATCAAGCAGCAGAATCGTCTGAAGAATGTGCTTAGCAGTAACATTTTAAACCTCCTAAAATAATGATCTAAGTCTAGATCAATTAGATTATTTCTCTACACACTAAAAGATAAATTGACAAATTCAGAAGGACATGGTGTGGTAACTGCCTAAAGCACTGGGATGACTTCCTCTGTGGAAGGGCCGAATTTCTCTCAATAAAGAATTACAAACTCCTTCACAGGATGATTAAAAACATGTTTGTTGACAAGTGTCCACCTTGTAGGCTGTTCTTTGGAGAAGTCCTTCTTCTCTACTGATGATAAAAGCACATAGTATACTCACTTTTTCTAATCTCCTACAAAACGCTTCAGATTTTCCAAAAATGTACATTTCCGATACTTCAAATGTCTTTTCTCCTAGAGTTTCCACAATCTCTTTCTTTGTTTCATGAAAGCATTTCTGATATTCTTTTAATAGAAACAAGCAGTCCTAAAAAGTGAAGGAACAAATACCATACTCATTATGCTATGCTTACAGGTGAGAGACTGGAGAACTCAAACCTGAGGTCATTCCAAAGTGGTTAATTATGACTGAATCTAGTTTCAGTCAACAGACAGTAACAACTTACATACACTGGTTTTCTTTCAGTATGTGTAGCAAATATTTGCAACACACGAACATACAACAGTACAGTACAGTGAAAGACTTAACATGGGGAAATGAGTCACCAAAAAAAGAAGAGGAAAGTTTTAGTTCTTGTTAAAGAGTGGTTTAGAGGCCAGCAAAGGTGATGATTCCTGCTTTAAAGGAGACATTTGAATATTAAGAAAAGCCATTAGCTTAATTAAGAATGGTCAGACTGTCCTCTGGATAAAGACAGAATTTAGCATAACGGTAATCCATTTGGAACTACCAAGGGACTTATAGAAATTTGGTTATACAAATTAATGTGTGTTGACAAGTCTGAGTTAAAATAAGACTGAAAAATAAGCCATCTTTCTCAGTTGATTAATTACTTAAAATACTAAGATCTTATCAGATATAACCGGTGAGAAATGCAGAGTCTATAATCACTGGAATACAAAATCTTCTGTCAGTTCTTGGAAAAGAGAAATCAGATTTTATCACAACATAATGGCAGTTACCATATTGTCTGAATATATAGATTGTCTAAATATAGCCAATATAACAATTGGCTATGAATTACAGGAAATGAAAAAAAGGTCCTCATTGAAAGGAATGTTCAGATCTTCAAGAACATATAGATACTAGAATGAAAACTGATCACCCTGAAAAAACTGTGCTTATATTTCTCTCATAGAATAATAAGGACTTGTCAGCTGTAGAACAGTCACAAGATGACCTCAATGAAACAGGTGAATTATTAGAATCATAGCATTCTGTCAAGTAAGAAGACATACATTCAATACGTTTCGTTTTGTACCTCTGGACTTAATTTTTAAAGGACTAGGAAATCCTATGCCTTTCTGAGTAAGATAGGAAGCCAGTAGCTGAGGTCTGATAAAGGAAAAGGTGGAAATGAAGTCAGTATTGGTAACCAGTAATGCCACAGCTGGATGTATTTTGCCATGACATATTACATAAGCTTAATTAGTTCTCAATATGCCACCATTGACTGAAGAAGGGGAAGACTCTGAACCCTGAATTTTCATGGTCTGACAAGGAAATCTGGTATTGGAAGGTGTTACTGTAACAAAGTGGGGGTGCTCCCCATGGTACAGTAAGATGGTACCATATCAGATACTCTCAAGAGGGAAGAATGTGGATTATTCAGGATGACAAAATTCCTTGGTCGCACATACGGTGAAGATGCCAATTCCAAGGTCAGTGATGGATCACCCTGGTAAAGATGAGGCCATCCTAATTTCAACAAATGTCAGTGTGCTAAGAAATGGGAAAACACTCAAAGCATCATGAAATAAAAAGAGGTATGAAGTATGTGATACATACTGATATGGAATTCCTTGTGCATATCAATAGGTAATTAATAGGTTTGATAGGTAAATAATAAAACACCAAAATACAAACCTTTATTTTTCCAATGGCTGTTGATGTTTCCTGGTCCCAGACATGAGACAAGCCCCCATCTGTAATATATGCTTTACACATAATGACCATTTGATTTGTAACCTAGCACAGACAAATGAAAACAAGTAGGTCTCAAGCTTATAAGGAAATTTGCCTGTTTCACAAAATCTAACATAATTCTCACATGCATGTATTAGTACTATCAGAGTTTGGACAAATTTTACCTGTAGGAATAATAGCAGCTAAATAATGTATGTAATATACATGACGAACACCCTATAAAAAGTCTACAAACACTCCCAGAAGTGCATCTAAGACCCAGAAAGTATTTGTAACTACTCTAAGTCCAGCAATACTTATGCATAAACACAGAATGTCACCAACGATAACTCAAAACCAAAGTGACGTTATTTAACTATTCTTCACTTTTGTTGTTATCCTTAAACTTTGTAGTGTGTGCATCCTTATTAAAAAACTTCCATTAAAAAGTTTTCTATCCTACCAGTATGTCTTCACCTTAGTCTCTCATGGCTATGAAAAGGAGTGAACATTCTTCTACTTCACAACCACAAAAATCCAAATTTTGTAGTGACAGAAAAAGAGAGAGGAGTATGGGAGTGAATGCAGATGCAGAAAACAGAGAACAGCTACAGGTAGATAATCTTTTTTGTCTATTAACTAATGCGAACAATTCAAAACAGTTCTCTTGACATATGAGAGTACTGTAAGCAGGTGTTAAGAACCTCTAACTGAATAAAGACTGAAAACTGCCACATCAAAGGCAGCCTCTCATTGTAATACAATGACTGGTGAAGTTGTGTATAGGACCTCCAATATCGCCTCTGACCATATTTAAACAGAAGCAAATGGTAATGGGGACCTTAAACCACTGGATTAAAATAGAGCTTTTTCCTTGCTATTTTTAGCACAGCTTCATGTAACCAGATTGTTATTAGCTTCTGTAGTGAAATGCTCAATCCCTTAGACTATTAAATAACAGACACTAGCAAGTGTCAAACATAAACGTATAAAAACCAATTACGTAACAGGCAACATAAACATTGCTGCATAATCCATGACTAACATCTGGTACATGAAAAACAGCCCCAGCCATGGATGAATATAGTCTCAAAAAGCACATATTCCTTAATATGCTAGTTCAAAATGAATTACAACAAAACTTTGCACTTAAACCTGGAGTGTTTCACACATACACATAAAAAAAAAAAAAAAAAAGTGATGTAAAGAGGGTCTACTGTGAATTTTCCCTATCTGCTTAGAGGTGTGTATTTCAGTTATGAAGGATTTCTTTGTTCTAAAACCATCACACAAACCATCTTTTCTTGCAGTGAATATCTGGATTCCACAAAAGACATTGGTTTAATTACCTAACTGGTCTTAATTTTCTGTTTAAGGCAGAAAAGGTTACGACCTGAGATTCTATTCACTTTTCAAGTATGACTTGCTTCTGAAAACACCAACCTTTTGTCTTTCATACCTTTAGGAGGAATAGGTTAGCCAGACTGATGGCCATCTACTTAGTTAGGTCTTCAAAGCTGATAATAAAAGAATCTTTGTGGATTCAGTGATTCAGGAAACAACTGAGCTGCTTAATTCAGATCAGGAGATTAATCAAGAAGATAAGAAAAAAATTAATTTTGCTGAACCAAGAGTAACAACAAAGTTCCTTCCAGAAGACAAGTCTCTAATCCAAGTTCAATCCTCTCCTGATCAGAAGACTTCTCTTCCTTTCCCGTGCAGACACCTACTATTTATCACCATTTTTTAACAAACGACCCGCTGATTTAAACAAAATGAGGATTTTTTCCTGAAAATTCACATGATTTTTATAATGAATATTATACTTAATATATTTACCTTTATAAACAATGATGTCATTCTCTCAGAAGTATTGTAATATCTTGAAACACTGTGAATCGTTCGTATAGCATTTATCAAATTTGGTATTTCATGTGTCATTAATACCTTAAAACAGTTTTGAGAAAAATTTTACTTTCCATTCTTAGCAACTATATTTCTATTCTATTGACAACTTCTACAACTTCTAAATCACATTTTTCCCTAAATCACATGAACTAATCTTTAAAATTCCATGGCATCTTACCAAAAAGATTATTGAGGGGGAAAAAAAAAAAAAAGCTAATCATGCTCAATAAATTTTTAAGCTTTGACTGATACAAACAGTAAAACTCTTGGATTATTTGGTGTGAAATCAGATTAAAGATATTAATATGAATATTTTAATATGCTATTTTGGTGATCAAAATGAAACATTGATTCAAAAAGTACAGGTTGCATTTTTTGGCACAAAAGGAAGTATTCTTCTGGCAGCTGACAGTGGCTGTAATTAATGCTCTTGTTTTCCTTCAAGTACAGCTGTTAAATATACTCTATGCAATTATATTGTGATTACAATCATTACATAAAATGTTTCATTCAGACATTTCACAAAACTCATGGAATAATTGTCACAATGTTATTTTCATTAATGAGTGCCTAATTCATTCAATCATCATATGAAACACCTAAGTCTTTCATATGTTTCATGAAGTTGTTCATATCATTAAAATCAAACTACGGTATCACAAGTGTTCTGTAATTCAATCACTTTCGAAGTATTTTGGAAAAGAAGAAAAAAAAGGTAAAAAATGTTAATTCAGTAATGTTATCAGGAACTTAACAGAGCTGCAATTCAGAACAAAAAAATGTAATTTTGACCGTCACCCCCCAACAGAGAAGCCAAATTCCTGGAATTAACTTTGTGCTCCAAACTCAAAGTAAACACACCAATACTGTGGATAGACATAGCAGGCATTTGCATTTGGTGGAAGAGTGTGAAAGAAAGGCTATATGGTATAAAAATAACCTTCAATATCTGTTTGTTGTTTATCATCCTCTGCTCCTCCTCCCTGTCTCCCTCCCCCAATAGAATCAGGAGATTCTGAGTCTACGAGTTTTCTTTTTTAATACTTGACAAAAAAACCCACAACCCTGAATACTGGACTGTACAGAGATTTCTCTGATTCTAAGGCCCAAGTTAAACATTCAGTCCAAATTTTCATACGGCAACCTACTTCATTATAAATGTGACTATGTGTGATTCTGCATACGCTAAATTCCATACTTTATGCACACACTAAATGTCATATTAAATCTGCATATACTCCATTCCTAATCCACTAATATTTAAAATACTTTTGCATATCAGATATTAAATTTAATTCAATCCAGAACATAGTTATTTTTAAAATAGGATATATTTAACTTGGGTGTCATTATTTTTAAGTTGAATACCATAGAAAATCCTACCTAAATTATCTTGATCTCTGGAACAATGTTCCAAGAAACGAAACAAAAATTCAGATTTATCCAAATTGTTCCAGATTAAACAAAGTACTACAGTTAACTAACGTGTTAGTAAAATGATGAACTCTTTAATGGGTTTCCACCCACAAATGTTTGTCTTTGTTTAAGATAAAAAGAATCTTATCTTAATAACTGGTATGAAGCAGCTCGTCATTATGGCCTGGTACCTGGCACCCTCTAGTGATACTCTGAAGAGCTGAAGATAAACAGCGTGTTGGTAACAGTGTTTATCTTACCCCTCTCTTCTACTGTTCCATGCAGTATGGGTTCTATGTCATATGTTATTACAGACTTTTTGCTTCCTCTCAGTTAAAACTTTGAAGTAGGATCATAAGCTGACAGCAATTCAAAAGAATTTGACAGAGGACAGGAGGCAGATAGGACCAAAACAAGGACTGAAACCCAAAGCAGAACCAGCCATTTTTCCTAGGGTATTTTCTCCTTCCACTCTACTCTGCAACAATCATTAGAAATATGTAGCTGTTATTATAATTAATAGTTAATATTAAACCAAATAACTGTTCACCTTGAACTATGGCTGAATAGTCTATATGTAAAACCAATTATTTAAGTTCTGACTAGCTGAGTACTCCTGCAAACAGAAGCAGCTAATAGTGTTTTCAACATCAAAATAATAATTTATGCATTTAGGACCTCATTAGGTTTCATTATTCTCTGTGTAACTGAAATGTTGGTATTTTGGTTACAAGTGTGTGATTACTCATTGAAACATATGGAATTTTCAGTGAAAGACATATTTTGAGATTCCTGTATTATAAAATATGTACCTGTTTTAACATCTTTTAAAAATAATCAGTCATAAAAATAATGGGAGAAGGGAAGCGGGGGGAGAAGGGAGGGGAAGGAGAAGGAGAAAGAGAAAAAAGAAGAAAAGTAGTCAGTCCTGCTACCGTAGGCAATCATATGTATTTATTTTTATTCACAAAACTCATATTTTAAAATATTGTGTTTTTATGTAATATAGAATAAACTAATGCTTTAACATTTAAATTGACATGCAGTTAGAAAAAAAAAATCAGAAAAATAGAAAAGTAATTTAGAAAAATTTACTTTTATGCAAATACAAAGAAGATTTCTTTTGCCCTGAGCATTCTGTGTAAATACCTAAACTATGTTTAAAGAGTGATGAAAGACATACTTACAACATCACAGTTGTAAAGTGGCTGACAAACTTTTTGAAGTGTGTATAAGTATTTCACATTATCTTTCGATTCATTTGCTGCATCTGTGATTCTGGCATCTAACTCTCGCCACATCTAAAGGGAAAACAGTACTGTAAAAAACTTCATACACGGAACTATTTAACTTGCATTGATTTGCCAGAAGTAAACTCTGTAAATTAATTTTTAAAAGGCATTGTCAAAGCAGGCAATAAAAGTTATTTTTCATAACAATTTTTCTCTGTATCTCTAAAAACATATTGTTCTTTCTCTTAATATATTAAGAACACCAGCACCATTCTAAATTTTCCCTTCTTAAGTCTCCTCAGGAAATCTCTCTTACATACAATGAGACAAAATAAATATTGCAAGCTTTGTCTACTATAGTAAAAAACAACATAAAAAAAAAGAAAAAAGGAATTACCCTTAGTAGTTTAGAACGTCCAACATTTAGAACATTAATAACAGCTTTGCAGTCTGGTCCTTTGATCTGCTCTATAAGAAAACTAAATTTAGCAGACATATATTTCCAGTGCTCCAGTTCAGTCAGTGGGCCTGAATCATCAGCTTCTTTTCTCATCTGTTTACTCTCAATCAGAACCTGCAACCCATTTGAAAAAAAATAAATGTCTACTATAGACAAATCATTATAAAGAAGAAGAGAAGAAACGCTCTGAGGATACTAACTTAAAAATGAACAAGCTTGCAGTTATTGACACATGACAATGGTTCTGAATTGGAAAAAAGATCCAAAGTCTGAATTGCACTTAATCATATTCTTAAATTGAAATGCAGGCAACTAATATATGTGTTCAACTGCTGTCATAAACTGGGTGAATCTCAGCAAATACTCATATTTTTTGTTTTAATCAGAATCTGCGGATTGAAATGCACCAAATGTAACTTCATTCGTAAAAAACTTGAAGAACTATTTTAATGCAAACATTAAATATCAAAGTCATAAATGTAATCACATTTGTATGTTGATAAACATGCAGTCAGCTCTTTTTACATGTCTTTTATGTTCTTATTCTCATGAGCAAAACACACTAAACAGAGCCCTTGGAAGTAGAGTGTGTCCCAGTCTACAGAGAGTCTATTTTGACAAAGGGTCCTGTGCTTTATCACAAAAGTCTCAGACACTAATTTCTTGAATAACTGAGACCTTACCATGTAAGATTCACACAGGATCAAAAATGCCCTTCTGGGCCTGGTCAAAGATCTTTCTAAGAAGAGTCATATCTCATACCATGATCAGCAGCAGAAACTTAACAGGTAATGTATAGAGTATACCTAACTGTATATGTGGTCCTTGCCAGTGTTACTACTCCTGCAGCCTTCCGTCCTCTCCTTCTTACTATTTGTGTATTAACTGTTCAGGAACTCTTACTCTTGCTAGACTGTAAGTTTGTAGGGATAAGGACTGCCTACTTAACTTTGCCTGTGCATAGGAGTGAAGCACTTGTCCTACTGAGGTGGAGATCATAGAATCATAGAATGGTTAGGCTTCGAAGGGACCTCAAAGATCATCTAGTTCCACCCCCCCTGCCAGGGCCAGGGACCCCCCCCACTACACCAGGCTGCCCAAAGCCTTATCCAACCTGGCCTTGAACACTTCTTGGGATGGGGCATCCACAACTTCTATGGGCAACCTGTTCCAGTGCTTCACCACCCTCACAGTGAAAAATTTCTTCCTTATATCCAATCTAAATCTACCCTCTTTCAGTTTCAAGCCAT